AAACATAAAAACTTTTGTTTTTATGTTTTTCAATATATTTATTAAATATTATTTCATTATTATTTCATTTATATATATTAAAAAAAATTAGACTTTAGAAGTTAATCTAGTATCAAAAACTCTCGATTCAGCACAACACAGTCCTCAGAAAAACACCACACAAAAGTGCCAGTGCTGCCAGCTAAAACACACATCAACAAAAAAAATATTGGAGTAGCCAAAGATATAGCCAAAGATTGCAGCACCACAGTACTAGTGAAAATTTAAATTTGCCGACTGGAATTCTTTTGGATAACTGACTTTCGGATAAACGACGCTCTACTGTAATGCATTCCTGGAGGAGGTAGCATAAACAAAATCAGTGCAAAATAAATCCATTTTACTAGGGAATAAATACAGGTGAATACTAGGCATTTATGAGTGAATACACTGTGTATATATTTTTCAGTAATGACAGGCTTATTACCAAAATTTTTACTAATATTAAATAATAATAATACAGAAATCATAGCATAGGCTTACTCATTTATGGCTGAAATCGACAATGCAATTTTTATGATGCTACTGGGTTAATCATAGAGATCAATCCAGTATAGTGTTGCTAGATGCAGCACTTTTGCAATGACAGCTAGTTCCATGGTGTATATAGAACTGGCTGTCATTGCAACTAGTGTTGAGGGTCGTCCATTGATGATGGGGCAGGCTGAGTGGGGATCATGCACTTTTGTGAAATATGAATCCAAAGTTGTTGCCATGTCTTTCTTCTGTTGTCAGGAATTTTGTAATAAGATGTTAAGGCTTTATTTAAATTCCTTCTTACAAAAGTAGAAGCAAAGTCACTTTACTTCCACTTTTGTAAGTTTGGATCCATTTTTCAACACTCTTCAATGAATGAGCAAGAAATTGTTTAAGGTCATTTTAGTTATCTTCTAAACTTATGGACTAATATGATTTCATGATGACTTGGACATTTGAATTTACTAATTTCTTTTAACAGGACTGTTTTTTCTATTTTTTTATTATTAGTGATGTGCCGGGTATTTGTATCCATGGCTATCTGAGGGGAAAAAAAGATCCGTATTCGTATCCATATCTGTTACTTTTTAGCGGATCTTTTATCTTAATGAATTTCATTACTTATATGAAATTTTAAAGATAGGTAGCAATAAAATACTAATAACTTCAATTTAAATCACCTTTCATTTCTTAAAATCACATAATTGGCACATTCACATTGCAAAAATTTTATCATGCAAAATTCATTTACTATTGTAAAATATTTCCATATTACACTACTAAACTTTTTTGTCGACATTGTTTTTATTTTAATTTAACTCAACACTCCAAAAATACAAACGTAATCTATGGTATTTCATGTCACACTAAACTATAAACAAAAACACACGCAGTGCCAGTCAAAACACATTGCGTTACTAACGCAAAGCATCAACTATCGGTCCAAGGTCACACGCACTGGTGCCGACTGAGTACAAAAGTTGAGATCCGTATCTGCGGATATAATTTTTAACGATCCAGCACATCACTATTTATTATTATACAATAATTTAATTTTAAAATGGTGAAGTACTATGTGAACAATAGACACTTTAAAATAATAAATAAATCAGCATTACTTAGAACCACTATTGATAGTATTAAAGAGAAGTTGCTACTAGCTTCACAAGCACTAGCCATAAATAATAATGCATTTAGTAACATTTGAAAAGAATATTCTGCATATTGTGAAAAAAATGTTCGGAGTGTTTTTGGAAAATTTGAAACCAGCATTATTGTCAGTTTTCTGAACTCAAATTAGTGTGCTAATATTAACTAATCCTTAAAAAAATTGTAAGTGGATGCCAAATGAATTTTAAAAGTCTTATTGTGAGACTATGGGGGTCCGAGAGTGTTTTTCGTAACCCCTTTGGTCCGTCAGGTCATTAAGACTTGCTCACTGAGTCACTGGATGGCTTTTTATAGAATGTCGTGGGGATTGCAGAATCCTTCTGATGTCAGGACTGACATCAGCTAGGGTAGGAGTTTCATTCCCTAACTCGCGATGTTACGATCTAGATGTTAAACAGAGGGCTATACTCTATCGAGTGGGGAGGAGTCGCAGACAAGTTCCAATCATAGCGGGATGAATGTCTGTACTTAAGTAACTGAGGAAATCAACAGGTTAACAAACAACAAAAAGGATTTAATGAATTAAAAAAAAACAAAGAGATACATAAATCAGGATACATAGACTCAATTTACAATAGGTTATATTATCTAAAATGCACTCTAAGCACGAGAGAGAGTTTACAGTTGGTTAAAAATAATGATAATACTTCTGTCGATCAAACTTGGAGAATGCAAGACGAATGCTGGAGAGAGAGAGTGGTACTATCTTCTTCTAATTATTATGGCAGGTCCAAATTCCGGTTGACTGTCTATAGTTTATGGCATGTTCTTCCCTTAAACTGCTGTCTCTGTGACAAGTTCCTTTCGTCGTGGACTGCTTCAAACTCGTGAACTTTTTTTCTTCTTATTCTAAGTTTTCACCAATCAGATTTTAGTATTCTGATAATCTGACAAGACATACATCTGATGCAAGAGACAGACGTTCGTCTGATAATTGTGATAAGAACTTTATAAGGGAAGTTCTATTTCCCTTTCCCACACAAAAATGATGATTTTTGGTCTATTTCATAGCTAAAATATTACATAGAAATTATTAATCAAGTGAGAAAATCTAAGACTGTGATAAATAAAATCAATAAATTTTTGAATAAATAACTCTCTACTGTCGCATTCTCACATTATTATTAAAGATGAAAATAATAAATAAAGCTTTCATAAATATCATATCTTTCTTGGTGTTTCTTTATAAAATGAGTTTACACAAATATATAATTTTCATTGTAATATTAGTAATATTAATTTGTGACCATATCAAGCAATGCAATGCATAAAATTTATCATCAGCCTGTAGGAACATGTAATCATTTCACAAAAAGTATATTAAATTAGTGTAATTTTTGTATGGCAAAGATTAAATTTCTGATGTATTGATTTTAACAAGAGTATCAAGTAATTATGCCTAATATTTGGCCAAAACAAGTCTGTTTTAATTAATAAATTTTAATGAATTACTCACTCTAATCAATTTCATAACAATTTTTCAGAGATAACAACTGACCAAATTAGCTAAGGTGCATGTTTAAAATACTGTGGGACTTGGGTTCAAGTCTGAATGGATCTAAAAGAATTTTTCATAGATAGTGAGAGACACTGCCAGACTGCCTGTTTCATTGAGAGACTGCCTTGCTTGAGAAACTGCATGATGGGCTTGTTAGGAAGTTTTCATTAGTTCTTTAGGGAAGATAATATTGATTTTAAAATTTCTCTAATTTAATTTCATACAATGATCCTTAATTTCAGTTTAAACTTTTTGAACACATTATTAGTTTATATTAAAATAATTCACTAATGCGCATGTGACAAAGTAACTAAGCTTACAGAGAAGAAAATGAGAAGTTAAAAGAATATTCATATTTTGCATAAATCTTATATCTGCAAAAAAAAAACAGATAATCTTTTTATTACAGTTACAAACTGTCAATATATTACTTTAAAATTAGTACTCTGAAGTATTCTGAAGTATTTTCATTAATTTCCAAACTATCAAAAGTAGTAACTGTACATACAGTCGACCCCTGTATAAGATCATTGATTATTCCGTTTTATATGAATTCCATGTTGTAAGAGTCACTTAGATTTTACAAATACGTGTACCGGGCTGTGAACGGCTCACGTATTTGTAAAATTTAAGTGACTTGTACAACATGGAATTCATATAAAACGGAATAATCAATGATCTTATATGGGGGTCGACTGTATCAAAATGCAGTAAGATGTAATGACATTAACAAATATCAAAATTTAACTTTAATTTAACTAGTTATATAAACAAAATTACCAAGACATATCTTTTAGTGGTAAGTAAATTGCACAGTTTTTAACATTTTCCTGAAGTAGTATGCATCCATCTATATATGCCAGAAATTTATAGAAAGATCACATTTCATTAGAAATTTAAAGCACAAATTTTTTAAAGGATTAATCTTATCATTCTCGTACATGTACATTATAATTTATTACTTGAAATATTTCTTGTCTTTTTATTCATTAGACTAAACATATCATAAAGAACCTGTTTGTACACTATAAATAAATTTTATTTGAGATTTTATATCTTGATATACCAAAATTAAAACTCAGTAAAAATCTTTATATTCAGTATAAGATTTCATATATCTTTTCATTTCATTTTAATTTACATCATTTACTTTTAATCTTTAATGGTTATTTTTTTAGTTTTTATTCGTGTTCTTTTATTGTTCTTGAGAGTAGCTTCTGTTGCCCGAGAGGCATTATTTTATTTATTGAAATGTAATAATTTATTATGTAAGTTATTCTACTTTTTTTTTTGCTTTTAATTTTGAAAATGTTAAAGAATTATAGAACACTGAAAAATTAGCTAATTCACCAAAAATAAATATTAACTAGCTATCTAATTGCACTTGTTGACAGAAAGTTATACACCAAGATAGTATTGTCTTATCAAGAACAATTTTAGTTAGATGCAGTTTTACAGTGATGAGTATGTAAATGATTATAGTTCTAGTCCAGTTGTATACCAGGTAATGTCATCAAAGTGCCCTAACTGTTATCCTAGTATCTTATAAAAAGACTTACAGATTGTTACTGTGTTCAGAATTTTCAGTAAACCTGTTGTTTGGAGCTCCTTGAATGTAAAACCTGGTATGATACAAAGACATTATGCATAGTTAATGGAGTTTGAGGGAGGTTACATCATGAGACTAAGGGAAGCACAATGGTTGTTTTGCTAAACTGCCTATCATTTGAGCCATTCTGGACCTGAGTGAGGTGATGTTGGAGACAATGATATACTTGAGGGCACATACAGGGTGGTTAGGCTCTGAATATCCCAGGCAGATCACCAGCAAAGATGATCATGAGACAAGGACAAACAGCTGCAACTGTATCTTTTTCCAACATCCAGAAACAGTTGCAAGCCTTACTGTGGTCTCTGCTAGTCACCTGCCAGTGGTATGATAAAAGGCAAATTTGCATGCATAGTGACCACTACATGTCTTGTCATTAGCATCCATCATAATTAACTTTATTTGCAGTGATGTTGTGACAATAGACCATTACAAACTGGCAGTATATTATCTTTAGTGACAAATCCCACTTCTGTTTGGGAACAGATGATAGCAGTGTTAGTGTGGAGGACCATTGGTAAGCACTTCAATCCAGATCTTACTATTGAATGGTGCACTCTCCCCACTGCTGTCTAGCATGACAGCAGTGGGGAGAGTGCACCATTCTCTGTGGTGCCATCACTACTACCAAAGGTATCTGACTATTATAAGGACATGATGGTTCAGTGATATTTATATTATTTTCACGAGTTGTTTCTTGTGTACTTAACTTAAGTCTGGATGAAACCAGAAGAATGGTCTTCTTCTTCTACCTGTGTCTTCTCCCAGGGGAGAATGGCAGCCAGAAAATACAACAAATCTCTTTTGAATAATTTCTTCAGTATTTAGTTCTGTCCAGTCCTTAAGGTCAAATTTTGCAAATATTTTTTTGTGCACTTTTACATTTTATCATCGCCATAAACTTATAAGTTTTATTAAGATTAAATTATTTATTTTCAAATAGTTATGAAAAGCTTGAATAAATTATTAGAAATACATTTATGCAATTTTTCACTTAATATTTTTTCAACAGCTTCAGAATCCTGCAGAAATAGGTACACTGATTGGCCAGAAGCATTCTGATGATAGTTGCAGCTTTGATATGAAGACATTTTCTCAACCTGATGAAAATAGTGCATTATTATTCTGTACTAAAGGAAACTCTTCTGCTTCTGAAGAAATTTTACCAGATACTGAACTTATTGATAGTATAGTCAAAGAGGAAAATAACAAAGGTATTTTTTTTTTTATAAAATATTTCTTAATTCAAATTTTTGGCTAACTTTCATTATCAAAAAACAATTAATGAAAATTCAAAGTTTAAAAATTTTTCTTTACTTTTAAATTTTAGTTCAAAATTAGAATAACTTAAATTTTTAAAAAATTTAAAAATTATGTAATTATATTTTTTATTCATTGGATTATACAGGGTCTTTGAAAGGGGTCTTTGAAAAAAGACCCTGTATAATCCAGTGTTAACATTTTAAATTATTGTAATACTATCAATGAAAAAGAATGTTACTGTTTTAAATTGTTGTAATTATTAATGTGCTTTCTCACCACACCGGGTTGTATATACTTCAAACCAACAACTACCTACAATTAACCATTAACCAGTGTGAAATTCTTTAAAATCGGCAAACGTTTTCGATTCCTCTCCTGGAATCTTCTTCAGGCTTACTTCTTTATAGCTTTTGTTATAACCGGATTCTTTAATTCGAATCTGTTGTAATTATGTTAATAATTATCTGAGAATGTTGTAATGTACATTAAAACATTGGAAAACTGAAGTTTCATGTTTGTCCATTACAATGTCTCAATACGTGCCATCTTGTGCCACATGGCACACATCCAACTGCCACTCAAATTCTTCTTGTGCTTGCTACAGAATATATGTTGTCACTCTTTCCATGACAATTTTACACTTCCTGCCAATTACTTGTGTTCCACAGTGATGAATGATGCTGACTTTGTGAAGTGCAAAATAAAAAATGCCTTCTCTACTGGAGGTCTTCGTTTTCGTTTATGGCTGTCCTAGGGTTAGTAGACAACAAGATGTTTGAATGCAGATGGGAGATGAAACTTGGACAGTTATTCTATTGGTTAGTGTACATTGCAAACTTCTTGATTAATAATTAATATAATTACAACAAAATGGGAATTCCCATTTTAAGTTATTGCAATTACAATACTGTCTTCTAAGAAGACTTTAAAATCTATTCTTAAAAGACTGTACAAAAGCACATGATCATACAAACAAATTTATTTGACAAAAACAAATGTAAATGAGATAAAAGTATTCAAGATCTAAGATTATAACAGCTGGGAAAGTAAAAATATACAACAGAGGGAAAACATGGCAATTGGTTAAAAAATGACCCCCTCAAAGATTTTTACATTTTTTGACCCTGGACCGAGAAATGTAAAAAAGTTTGGGAGTAATTTCTGTATGGATGTTTGTGTGTGTGTTGTATGATTTTGTTCTACCTGTTTGAAGCTTAACAACTTCTGTGTTTTTTATTGAAAATTTCTGAATTTTTGCAGGGAGGTTTGTTTATTAGGGGACTGATGCTATTAATTTTTGGTGATCAAAGGTCAAGGGGTTGGAAGATAAACGGGATCATGTGTATCTCAAATAGGGTCAGACTTAATGACATTTTTACTCATTATTAGCATTTACAATTTTTTTTATAAAACCCATCCCTACTCTGAAAACTAAGCTTTTTGCCTTATGATATTTTATTAGTTAAAAATATAAAACAGATGGCACCACCAAAAGTTGCCAGGATAGTTATAAAGTTAAAAAATCCAGCAATGAGTTGCTTATTTGTTTAAAATTTGTGTGTGCAAAGTCTAAATATTTGGGACATTTTAATTTTGATGCTAAATCAAGTCTACATTATTATAAAAGCATTTGTACTTTTATAAAAGTTGATAAATTTATTGGTCTCTCAGCTATGTTCTAAAGTAGAGTTAATGTGTCAGGTTGCTAATAGCTGGCACTCGAGTCTCTTTGTGGCGAGAAGAGGTTGGTTTATCCATTTAATTAGTGAGTAGTTTTACCATTTTCAAGCATGTTTGTATCTTTTTTCTGTGAAAAAAAGAAAGAAGAGAATGCCAAATAAGTGTTTTGTGATGGTGTAAGTCTGGCTACTGCAAATCTCGTAAGAAGTGGCATATTTTTACACACTTTCAAATCAGTTAGATAAGTAGAAATGCAAAATTCTTTGAAAAGATTTACAGCTCATAAGAAAATTGTGAATATGTGACTTGCATTTTGATGAAAGATTTCTAATTAAGAATTATGTGCATATAATTGAGAGTAAAAAAGTTGAGATTCTCCATGGAAAATGTCATCTAACACAGGATGCTTATCCTTCAAATTTTCTTAATTGCCTATTATATTTGTCAGTTAAAGTTCCAGAACATTTAAAATTGTTTGCAGAGTACTAGCATATCAACTATCATCATCAACCACTTTACAGATGTGGATAAATTAAATTAAAAATAAAAATTGTTTAATATAAGTTTTAAAATATTATTTATACTTTTAAATTGAAATATCACAAAGTAAGTTTTTAAATATCTCAGTTTTAAACTGTATATTGCTATGTATTGTCTATGCAAGTTTTGTACATAATTCTCTCTTTCTGCATGCAGTGTATCTATTTATAGAAAAATGCAAATACACCTATTTATTACTGTATTGTATTTAATTGCATATCTATTACAATATAATTGAGAGAACCATAGCTTATCCTCCAATGCATTTCAGCAGCCATAGAAATTTTTAACTCAGATAAAGACAAAATTTACTTTTTTCAAATAAATTATTAATTTTAATATACATACCAGTACACAATTTTATTTCATTTAGTAATGATACAGTTTTTGGGAGTCATACACTTTTGTATTTTTGACATATGAAATTGCAGTTCTTATGGCAAACACATTGTGTCTACATATTTTAGTTGTTTATAAGATATTCTGCACCATCAAAAGCAGAATATGAATGAAGATTTATTGATAGCCTATCTTTCCTTGTTTTTACATATACATAAATAAATGAATTATTTATTTATTTAATTTATATAGACCTAATTAAAATATCAAGTAACATGCCTTTTAGACTCTGTATTGCTGCTATCACTGTTAATATCTAATAATGTTTCAGTTATTGTCATCTGACATTTATTCTATTTGTCAACCTCTTCTTCATTATCTGCCTGTAAATATGAAAATTGAAATTTCCATTTTTTAAACTTACCCTGAAGTCTAATTTCTTCTCTTTCCTCTAACAGGCCCATCTGATTTCTATTGACTTTTAATCTGCCTCTCTAATCTGTCCCTAATCTTTTCTGGCTCAACTTTATTAATGAGATATTGTGTTGAATTACTCTCCATCAATTGTAAATAAGATTTACCATAGCTCCTTTGTTATTGCATTCTGCAATAATTCATATAATAATAAAAATTCATCATAAAGATATGGGCATAAAGTTAAACCTTGATACACTCCTAAATTTACTCTTAATCCTCATTTTGTAACACTTAAAACAAATGTTGGGATAAGTTAAACATTTCTATATATATCCATAATTAAATTTATAAAATTGCCTTCAACATCTTATCTTCCTGATTCAGAAAGAATTCACTGAGGACACTCTGTTTAATAATGTATAGATAGACCAAACTATATTTTTGTACTATCTTTTCTTAACTATTATGAAAACTATCCAAAAAATATTTCAAAATGAACATAACATAATGAACATGTGGCATAAAACAAATCATTGAATCAATTTAAAGTCTAAAATCATGAAAATGGCAGTTAATGGAATTCTATGATATTAGCAAGATTTATGTATGAATAATATTCAAGCCGAATTAAAACACTATTTATAAACAATTGTTTAAAAGGGGCAAAAGCAATATCAGAGTTAAAAAACGACAAAAAGGATTTTTAATGATTGCAGCTGACTATGCCGTCCTTGAACCAAACTTATGCCGCAAAGCAATTACAGTGCTCGAAGTGGCAGAAATATTTATTAAGCCACTTCTGTAACATTAGAGCTATTGGTAACTGAGAGACTAGTATATATCTATTGACTCTGCTTTTATCATTCTGCTCAGATTTTTAGTGCTGATTCAATAATGTCATCACTCAGCAGATATGTTAAGAATTACTCATGATGTGTTATGAATGTTATAAAGTAGATTCAACATATTAAATTTTTATCAAGCTGAATCAATTATATCTAAAATAAATTTGGAGACTATTTTAAAATGAAATTTTCAAGTGAAATACAGTCATTGAAAAAATAATTATAAAATTTAAAGAAATATTCAGTAACAAAAGTAGATATTTTAAAAAAAATTATTCATTAGAATGCAATAAAAGTAGCAAATAAAAAGAAATAAAGAAATGTTGCTACAGCTATACAGTTTTGAAAACTAATGATGATGACAACATTGATAGCAAACAATTGTTTTCAATATTCAACACTCATGAAAAGCATTTCAAATTTAAACAGGTTTTTTTAAATTGTACATTGGTGTACAAAGACCTGTTGGGAAACTATTTTATGATGATGATAATGACATTCCAGTACATAAATAGGCAACTTATTATTTAAAAAAAAAACATCAGTTATAAATTGTCAGCAAGAAGACTGAATAATATACATTTAGTCACCTATTCTATAATGTTTTAATTGATCTTTGCTTTGTATTGTACATCTAAAACATTTTTCATAATTAGTAAAAAGATGAGAAAAATTAAAGGAAAATACATTTATTTTTATGTACAGATACAAGTAAATATATATTATTATGACAACTGAATCTATGAGAATTTTAGTTTTTACATTATACAGTCAACCCCTCTATAACGCAGTAGATACGTTCCACTTTATAAGAATTTCGCATTGTAGGAATCCTTAAATACATGAGCCAATCACAGCTCGGCACGTGTGCAGTTTATGGACTACGGCTATTTGAAAGGTTTTCTTCCATAAAATTAATCGATTCTAGAGTAATTTGACTCAACATTTCCAAAACACACATAATTTTTTGGGAATAATCTGTATAAACTATGCTATAAACAAAAAGTTGTAGGATTACTTACCGAGTGTGCACCATTCGACGATGCCATTGCTTAAGCTTGTTTTCGTCGAGGAGCAGCGCACCATACGGTGGGCGCGTTTTCTGATAAGTTATTTTTCTGCAAAAAATT